GTTTTAGCAAGAGAAGTCCTATTTTAAGTATAGAACTTTGACATTAGTTTCTAAAAATAGAATGGATTGATATGCAGGATCATCAGATTAAGGGCCAGAGGTGACAAACCAGGACAAAGGGCATGGAGCTCTTTTTAAGCAATTCAATTTGTAGGTTTTTTTTTCCATGTTTGAACAAAAGCTTACTTATATAGAAAGAAGATCTAGTGTTGAATGACTAGTTCCAATGATGGAAGAATGTGGCTCAAATTGTTCAGATATTTCAAATCTATGTTTATGCTGTTGTTTTTGTTGTTGTTTGTTTTGTTTTGTTTCTCCATGTTAATGAATGCCAGAGCTGCAATGCTGCTTTTTTGTTTTTCAGATAATCCCTTTATGCAACAGTGGCTTAAATTCTTTGAAAACATTTCAATTACAATATTTTAGACTACATGTGAGGGTTAAAAATATTTTTGAGTAGATTTAAAATTTTAGAAAAGAAATCTATAAATGAAAAAAAAATAGTCCTTGTTTCACCCTCTTAAGTAAAATGCTATTGATTTTTATATAACATGACATTATTACATCAGGTCATTGTCAGTCTCGTAATTGCAAGCATTGTTTTTGTTATATTAGAATGTTTTTAAAGATGTGTATTCAAACTATTTGGAATGTGCTAAAAGGTATTTGTTTAATTCTGTCTCTGGCAATATAAAAATTTAAGCATTAACAATGTGTATTAAAACTAAAAATATGTCAAATAAAATGTTGTTAACATTGTAATTAAGTAGAACCTTTCGGTTTTACTTGGAATCACTTCATTTACTCCATAAGAAGCTATTTTAAAGTTATGCTGGGGCCTTTAAAAATCTTGTGGTTAGCTTTATAAAGATGGAAAGTTTGCCACTGTTTGATTTTAATCTTTGATCTACAACAAATTTTGCCAATTTTTCTACTCTTCAATGTGACTGAATTTAGTTATATGAAACTATTATTTCATCTGTTAGAAAGTAAACATTTGCATTAGAAAAACCATTATGCTATATCTTATTTGTATTGTAACTCAACTGTATTGTTTAAATTTAAAGAGTTGTGTTTAGCAGTTAACATTTGTTCCATGATCTTTACCTTCACATAGTCCTGACAGTATGCTGGTTGACTGAAGTTTTTATTTTCTAGAATAAATTATTTATTTAGAGCATATGAAGAGTTGGTAGACATGAAACCAGTAAAATTTCATATTGCAAACTGACTAAAAAGTTAAATTAATCTTTCTAATTCAGCAATATTATGAATATTGCCCTCTTATAATGTGTTATAAGTTAACTTGGATACTTTGTACATAAAAAAAAAATAATATTTTTTTTTTTTTTTTTTTTTTTTTGGTTTTTCGAGACAGGGTTTCTCTGTATTGTTTTGGTGCCTGTCCTGGATCTTGCTCTTGCTCTGTAGACCAGGCTGGCCTTGATCTCACAGAGATCCACCTGGCTCTGCCTCCCGATTGCTGGGATTAAAGGCATGCGCCACTGCCGCCTGGCAATAATTAATTTTTGACTGATTTTTTTTTCCAACCTAACATAAAATTCTTTTTTTTCTTTTTTTTTTTTGTGGGGGGGCGGGTTTGAGACAGGGTTTCTCTGTGTAACAGTTCTGGCTGTCCTGGAACTCCCTTTGTAGACCAGGTTGGCCTCGAACTGAGAATCCACCTGCCTCTGCCTCCTAAGTGCTAGGATTAAAGGCATGGGCCACCATGCCTGGCTTCTCTGTTCTTATCTTAATTTTTAATGTTTCATAACATTCTCATCTTAAAATTTCAGTAACCTAAGATTTTTTTAAACTGTAAAATTGCATGTATTTGTGTTTCATTTTTACAAAGTTATTTAAAGTCTTTACCTTTGTATGATTGAGATACAACATAAATAATTTGTCCAGTTATTGCTAAAATTATAGTAGGATATTTAGTTGAGTTACAAGGTAATTTATTCTGATTTTAGGTAAGATTTGAATTTAGTCAGCTAACAAAATTTGTAACAAATAATTACAATATGATTTTATCAAACATTTTTAAAGCATAGTTTAAGATAAAATTAATCATTGTACATCTAATATTTTGCTTATATGTGTATGTTATATTTTAAGTTATTGTTAGTGTAAGTAAGTATTGTGCTTTATTTAGGCAGACGGATCTCTGTGAGTTCCAGGCCAGCCTGGTCTACAGAGCTAGTTCCCAGGCCAGCCAGGCCAGGGCTGTTACACAGGGAAACCCTGTCTCAAAAAACCAAAAAAGAAAAAAAAAAAGAATACATTGTACATTGTTGTCTATTTTGCTTTCCAGAAATGTATTTGATATAGTAAATTGAAGATGTATTGTAAATAGGCTGATTTTTGCTGTAAGCTGTAGGTTGAATATTTATTAAGTCATTATCTTTATATCAGTTTAGTCAGTACCGATAATTAAAAATATCTAATATCTCTAAAAAGGTTGGGGAATTGTGGAATAATCCTTCTATGGTGAATATTATTCTTGATTGCTAAATTGCTTTTTGCTGACATAAAGCTAGCTTCCCTTTTATTGATATTAGAAATAAAAGTTACAAACAAAATTAAGAATACTATGTTATATACTAGTATTTTTTAAATTCATTACTCAGTTTTATAGGCTTAACAGTTTGTCAGCGCTTGAATGAATGACTTAATTCAAAGTAAGAATCATTTTCCTATGCAGTTAATTACCATAGTGGATTTTAACATATAAATATTTTTCTATACTTCAAGGAAAAACATAAAGTTTAGGAATATTTGTAATACATAGTGATTGTAAGTAAGGTAGTTGCTTACAAGTGATGTGTGTTCGTGCATATATGTGTGTGTGTCTGTCTGTATCTGTGTGTATATCATGCTCTGGATTGAACTCAGGAGCTCATCCATGCTCGGCAAAGTCTACCATCTAAGCTACGTTCTCAGGCCCTATATATGAAACAAACTAAAATTGAAATTATATATGTACTTTATAGGTTCAGTACTCAATAATCAATTCACTTTCTTATGATAAGATTTTTTTTTCCTGTCATAAAAGCCTAGAGAATTCTTTTTCTTTTTTCAGTTTTTTGAGACAGGGTTTCTTTGGGTAGCTGTGGCTGTTCTGGAACTAGCTCTGTAGACCAGGCTGGCCTCGAACTCATAGAAATCTAACTGCCTCTGTCTCCCGAGAGCTGGGATTAAAAGCATGGGGCCACTGCCACCTGGCCACAGGAATTATTTTTTAAAATACGTTTCAAAGCTGGGTAGTGGTGGGACGTGCCTTTAATCCCATCATTTGGAAGGCAAGGCAAGCAGATCTCAATGAGTTTGAGGTTAGCCTGGTCTACAGAGTAAGTTCTAGGCCAGCTAGCCAAGCCATGGCTACAGAGAAACCCTGTCTCGAAAAACCAAAAAAAAAAAAAAAAAAAAAAAGAAAAAATAAATACAGGATAATCATAATGATCTAACTATACTACAATCTCTGCTGCCATAGAACCCAGTGAAGTTGGGAGAAAGAATGTCTTTTCACAAGGCTATTCCAGTAAATTACAAACCGTCATTACACGGTAGAAGCATTGTACTTGGTAAAAAGTGTGAAGAAGAGCTGCAGGTGGAGCTCTAAATGATGAACAGAGTGTAGTCCAGTGAAACGGCAGAGAAATAAATTCCAAGATTTGGGTTTTAATTTAATTTTAATAAAAATTAATGAGTGTTACATGAAGTATTTTAGGAAAACCGGAATAATATTAAATAAAAATGCCCATATATAAAATATAAGTACTGTTTTTTGTACTACTAATATATGTATACATTTAAATACTTATTTTCTGTTGAAAATGCATTTTATTTATTTAGTTTTGATTTTTCAAGACAGGTTGTTGCCCTGGCTTTCCTGGAACTTGCTCTGTAGCCCAGGCTGGCCTTCAACTCAGAGATCCACATGCCTCTGCCTCCCAGTTGCTGGGATTAAAGGCATGTGTCACCACCGCCCTGCTGGAAATAAATTTTAAATAATTGCATATAACATTTACCTATCTAATTCCAACAGTAGTCATTAAGTAAATAGTATATGGATTGATTATAATCCATTTTTAAACTTAATTCTATTTACTAACTTTTGTTTTTTAATGTGCATTAGTATTTTGCCATGGGAAGTTTTGGGTCCCCTGAAACTTGAGTTACACACAGTTCTGAGTTGCCATACGGGTGCTGGGAGTTGAACCCCGGATCCTCTGGAAGAGCAGCCACGGCTCTTTACCACTGAGCTATCTCTCCAGTCCCCTATTTACTAACTTTTAATTTGGAAAAATGGTATGACATATTTGTAATCCCAGCAGACTGGCTGAGTCAAGAGAATAGCAAGTTTGGAGCTAGCCTGAACTACAGAGTGATGTCCTGTCTTCAAAAACCAAAGGAAAGAAAGGAAAATAGAAAAATTGAAGACATATAAACCTCTGTGAGTGTGTAGGTTCATGCAGTGCCTTTTTCAAGGTTCTGGTTCTAGTACAGCAGACAAACAAGATCTAAGCATTAGTCAAATATATGAATTTTGTGTAATAATTCCATTTTATTTTTCTGTTGAAAAGAATGCTAATGTAAGAACCTAATAATCCAAAATATCTTACATGAGTTTGTATAATTGAAAATTATTATGAAATTCAGTTGATAATTGAAATATCTGAGTATTATTCAAATTGCTTGGCTTTTCCCCCCCTTCTTGGATACTTTGAAATCTGGATCTTCCCTTTATAATGAAGAATTTTTGAGCCAGGCAGTGGTGGCACACATCTTTAATTCCAGCACTCATAAGGCAAAGGCAGGCAGATCTCTGTGAGTTCAAGACCAGCCTGGTCTACAGAGCGAGTTCCAGGATGGCCAGGGCTACACAGAGAAACCCAATCTTAGGGAAAGAAAGAAAGAGAGAGAGAGAGAGAGAGAGAGAGAGAGAGAGAGAGGGAGGGAGGGAGGGAGGGAGGGAGGGAGGGAAAATTTGTTTTTGACACAGAGTCTCAAATGTAACCTTGACTGGCCTGAAGCTGGCTGTGTAGACCAGGCTGGCCTTGAATTTACAGAGATCTCCTTGCCTCCACGTTCTGAGTGCTGAGATGAAGGCACTGGGTACCGTACCTGGTGCTCTGGTGCTCTGTCTCTCTCCGTCTCTCTCTCTCTCTCTGTCTCCGTCTCCGTCTCCGTCTCGCTCTCACTCGTGTCTGGCAGTTCATAACCGCCTGTAACCCCAGCTCCAGGAGCCTGACGCCATCTTCTGCCACTCTGGGACCCTGCATGCAAATGTGCTTACCTACATGCAGACACACACATAAAAAGAAAAATATGGTCTTGTTCGTGCTGGCCTCGAAATCCAAATCAAGGTCCTCCCAGGTCAGCATCCTGAGTGCCTGGCTATTGTTACAACTCCTGAATTAAAGAACAGTATCTAGCCAGTTCTGTGATAATGATTTTGACTTTATTAAACCTGACATTTATAATTTCTCCAAATTATTGGAAAGTTTAAAAAAATTAACCTCATTCATTATATTTGCACATTGTTAAAATATGCTTATTTGAACTTTTTTATGAGAATAAACAGATAGAGGGACTAAGTATAGACTGTGGTTGTCAAAAGTGTAAGCCAAGGTTTTACCGAGATAATACATATAACTCAGCTGAGCAAAACAAAGACTTGGGATATGTAAAAGAGAGCTTATTTGAATAATATTTACTGAAGTTTGCTAAAGTTACAGCCTGTCATCTTATTTTTGTTGTAAACACAGGATAACTAAAGGAGTTAATGTACAGAAGTTCATGTGCTTTTTGTTTGTGTTCTTTTTTTATTTTCAAATGTTATTTGGCTTGTTCTTTAAAAAAACAAAAACCACACACACATACACACAAAATGAATGAATGAATAAATGAATAAAAAAAACCCAGAGTCAACACAGTGGGACTCACTACCTGGGAAAGCCTTCTTACCTTTTGAGAAAACATTAGATTGCAGCTAAATTATTTGCACCTAATAAGGTGTGTGTGTGTGTGTGTGTGTGTGTGTGTCTGTGTGTCTGTTTGTGTGTCTGTCTGTCTGTGAATATATAGCAGATACAGAGTCTAAAACTTAGTTAAGGGAAGACAAACATTGAATGTATTAGGTGACTAGATGCATGTTCAAACCAATCTGTTGTTCAGACTTTAGTAACTAAATGCCAACTCAGTGGCCAACAGGGTTTTCTCTTCTGAGTGCTGTTCCTTGTGTGGCCTGTTCATTACAAATTTCATTGTGTTGTAGCGTATGTTAACAACTATGCTAGAAACATCAACACTTAGATTTTTATTTTCATCTATCCATTCGTCCGTCTATCTGTGTATCTATCCATTGGTTTTTCAAGGCAGGGTTTCTCTGTGTAGCCCTGGCTGTCTTAGAAATTGTTCTACAGACCAGGCTGGTCTCGAACTCAGATCTGCCTGCCTCTGCATCTGGAGTACTGCGATTAACGGTGTGTGCCACCACACTTGACTTAATACTTAGATTTTTAAAATGAAAAATTTTGGGTTAATATGTATTTGATGTCTTTAAATATAGTTAATTATTAAAGTATATTGCTATTCAAGTAATTTTATCTTTAAAATGTATTTGAAAGCTGGGTGTGTTGGCACCCAATACTCCAGAGGCAGACAGATCTCTGAGTACAAGCACAGCCTAGTCTACAAGGGCAAAGACAGCTGGGGCTATAGAGACCTTGTTGCACCCACCCAAAAGTATTTGAAGCTAGGCACAGTGGGTCATGCCTATAATCCCAGAATTTGCCTGTAATCCTAGGATTTTAGAGACTGAGGTAAAAAGATTGCTCTGTGTTTAAGGCTATCCTGGGCTACATAGTTGAGACCCTGTCTCAAAAAATTAGGAAAAACAGTGTTTGCATGTGACAGCAGATCTAGTAGTCAGTGGTGTAGGGTTATAATTAGTTTCGGAACATGATTAATTTATGATTATCTCCTAAATATATCTAAATAGATAGTCAAATTTATCAAGAAGCATGGTATTGTAGCTTAGGTAGATTTTTAACTGAATAATTGTGAGTGCTTACATCTTTAATCCCAGCACCTGAGAGGCAAAGGCAGGCGGATCTCTCCGAGTTTGATGTCAGCCTGGTCTACAAAGAGAATGTCAGGATGGTCAGGGAAACCCTGTTTCAGAAAACCAAAACCAAACAGACAGAAAATTTAAAGCTACGTTAATTAAATTGTGATTATTGCAACTGAATGTTCTTGTTTTATTTTTTTAAGCCAGTGTCCCTTGATAGATGTTTACAGATAAGTTTATGGCAAGTGGTTATCTAAGTCAGCTAGGTGATTTTGTAAAGACCAGTTTGTAGGTGAGCTCACAAAGTCAAAATACCGTCATTTATTCTTTTCTAATGAGTCGTTAAGTTGCAGACGCAGAATAGGTGGCTACTGTAGTACTGACTTGAGCTCTCTGATTTTAGGTACTTCAGAAGACGATGAGGTCATTCAACCAGGTTTCGTCAGCCCCAGGTTAGTTTGTTTTTAAGTTAAATGTTTTATTTAACCTAGTGCCTTGAACGATCAGTGGAGGAGTTTGAGAGGGCTTGACCAACCCTAAGGATTTTTCCACTTGGGCAAAATTGGCATCATATCCTGTATACCCTACCCAGAATATTCCATCTTTCAACTGTTCTTCTTACCCCAGCTGTGTGGGTGGCATGTTCTGTTTACCTACCTTCTGTTTGACAGTGTTTGGTTTGGGGATTTTTTTCTCCATAACTTGAGCAAGACAGATAACATACTTAAACACTAATGGAGACAAGTCCATTGCTTATTCTTTTCTGTGATTCCCAATAGGTGCTAACAAATATCTGTTGAATTGAAGTTCAGCTATGGTAGTGTTTTCAAATAATTCGTTGTATGTAAAGTGGACTTTCTGAGGAAGTTTCATTTCATTAATCCAGGGAGCTTCATTTATTTTGCTCTTTACGTATAACTACCATAATAATAATAATATTAATAATAATATTATTATTATTCTGAATAATGAATATTCATAATAATAACAACAATCTGCTTATTATCCTATTGTAAAATGGAATTGGTTGAAGTTAAACCCAGATTTAAGATATGGAATTTTATTTTCTTATATTATTTTTTTTCAGTAATACTCTTTTTTGGTAATAGTATGGTACTCTGGCATTTTCCCTAATGAATTAAAAACCTGTCTTGTTTTTGAGGAAGGGTCTTACTATGTGGCCCTGCCTGGCCTGAAACTTGCCTAGTAGACGAGGCTGACCTGGAGCACACAGAAATGTCTCTGCTATGAGTGCTGGGGTGAAAATGTGTGTGCTCCACACCTGGCTCTGACTGAGTCCTAGATTAGTGTATCTCTGAAGGCACTCACAAAATTCATAATGATTCATAATAAAATGATCTTATTATTAAGTTTACTAATCAGGATTGTATAACCAGAGAAAGAAAAGATCAGATATTTAATGGAGAAGCCATAGTCAATGCTGCCTTTTGCAAACACTGCTTTTGTGGAATAAAACTTAACATGTTGATGATGCTCTAAGTGAGTTTCATGAAAAAGAACACTATTAAAATTTGCTACAAAATGTTGGATATATCATTTCCTTTCTTCTTACCATTGATTGTGGAGTTTTTCTGGAGGTAAACTGGCATTTTTCTGTTTGGAAAAACTGTTCACACCAGTGTGTTAAATGACTGCAATAAAGTTTCTTGTCTGTTTCCTCTTGATGAAAAGGGAGTTGGAGATGAAGGGAGATTGTTCTTTGGCTGGGCTGTAACAGACAGGCTTGACCGTCAGTGGGACCCCGACTTCCCGCTGTTGGTGGGGAACTGAAGCCCCAGCTATGTAGTGAGTGACCAGCGGCTGCCAGCTCGGTGGGACTGGACGGTTTTCTCCAGGATTTGCGTCCCACCGCCCTCTCCTCTTATCTTTTACTCCTCCCTTTCTCCAGCTTCCTGTGTCTGCTGTGCTAGGTGAACCCTTCAGAGGAAATATTGAAATAGCCCTAAGAGGTAGACCACACTCTTTTCAGCTGATTATTTGTTTTTGTGAGATGAGATTTTAAATAATTAATCTGTAAATGATTTTAGGTGAGGGAGAATGCATATGTGTACATTGAGTTTTTCATCTTATGGACTCAGACATTTCTATTTACTGTAAAATGGTCTTTGAATTCTGAAGCATACATGTACAAGTAAAACACGTGGAAAATAGTGCCTATCATTTTTTCAAATTAAAGTTCTTTTGTGCTATTCTGAATAATTATGGAAAGCTTATTTATTACTAGAGGATTGTTCACAAAGTTACCATTTTAACTAACATAGTTCAGGGAAGTGTTGAACATAGCTTAGAAAATGCAACGAAAGCAATACTCAATTTTTATTTCTTTTTTATGGAAAGAGAAAAATGTTACTATAATGGAATTTTGCTAGTTTTTCAAAATAACATTTTATAAAATATGCTTTAAAATAATGCCCTGTTTATGAATTTTATTGTTCTAAATTTTGTTTTACAGCAAAAGTACCTGACAAAAACCTTTAAAGATACCTTGTTTTTGAAATATAAAAGTAATTTGAACAAAAAAAATCTTAAGATTTGTGGTAACGAGTTCCTCTGTTTCTACAATAGTCCCCAAGCACTATAGTTCAAAGGGCATTTAAGAAAAATTTTAAGAGATTTTTGACAACTGTGAGTAACTCTAAAAAGAAAAATTGCATTTTTGTTTTCCAGTTTAAAAAAAAAAAAGAAAAGAAAAGAAAAAACGGAATGAGACCGGAATTTTGCTCTTGGAAACAAAAACAAACACCCTCGGGTTCTGGGGTGCCTCTGCTGACAGGCTCAGTCGGGGCTGGTTTCCTCTGCCTCCCTGTTTAAATCCACTTCGCAGAAATGCAGGGAGTGGGTGGAATCGGATCGATTTTCCGAGACGGGCAGGTCGATAGCCTTTGCCCAAGCTGCCCGGGAAAGATCACGCGGAACAGATGGGTTCCCCAAATCCACAGGCCTGGAGTCCCTCCCGCCCTCCGCTTTCCAAATGAGAAAGGCGCTGCGGATGTGTGTGTTCGCTGCTTGCCAGCTCCCAACTGCAAGCTTCGCAGTTTGCTCGTTTTAAGCGTGGCCGGTGGGGGCAGGGCGGGAGCAGTCACTTGTCAAGGAGTTTCTCTTGAGTCTCCGCTGGACCTTGCCTAGATTTACAATGTTCTGGCATCTCATAGATAAAGAGGTCAAATTATAAACGATAAGTGCGTAAATTAAGTAAAAAGTCTAGATTGGGGCTAATGTTTGTCCTAGTGGTGAAGATAAGGATTCTGTTTGTTTTGAAGAGCACAGTGACAAATGTTTAAAAGTGCCTTCGTAAGACAGCAGCAGCTTTCTTTGGAAGACTGGATTTCTCGAGGGAAGTTGGTGGAATAAGGCATAAAGAGTAAAGGGGTAGGAGAATGAAAGGTGGTGAGCAGGTTGCTGGAAGAAGAAGAAGGAAAGGGCAGATGGGCTGGTTCTGGAGTCGGGCTTGGGAACCCTGGGGGCAGGAGCCGCACAGAAAGGTGCTAGCTGCTGAGCTAGGGCTGGAGACCTCTCCTTACCTGCTAGAGAACAAGACAGAGTCCCAGCTGTGCCACAGCCCCTCACAGTTTTCAAAACAACCAAAGCACTGTTCGTGCTTTAATAGAAGTCACACAGGGACTAACAGTGAGCAAGGATGGAGGTCCTTGCGTTGTGGTGTTGGGGAGTGGTTCAAATGAGAAAATGTGTACCACCTTTAAAAGGGAAAACCCAAGTGTGATAACCAAAGGACCCATGATAGATTGCTTTTCATCTCCTCCCTCCTGTGTTGAGTTGAGGAGTCAGTGTAGGACTTGAGCTAATTTTAAAGACATTTTGGAAGAGCTATGATAAATCAAGCTGTGCAACATTTGGCTTTTGAAGGTTTAAAACATGCATTTTAGTCAAACGCAGGTCTTCCTGGCACTAAAAACAAGTAGGAAATGAGAAAAAAATTAAAACCAGAAGACTTGAGAAGGTGACAAATTGAAAAGCATTGTAGGAGACTCATAAGAACCATTTTATGTGAAAGAAGCATTCTGAGCCTTAAGAGCTTATGGTCAGTTTATAAAAAGGCTCAAAAGATTTGGGGAAGGGGCAGGCAAGAATAATCTACTTAAAAGACAGTGCCATAGTCCTGAGTTGATGAGATTGTGTGTCTCCTCCTTTTCTCCCCCTTCCCAGCTTCCTTCCTGCTTCTTTCCAGCCTTCTCTTCCCTCTCTTTCCCCCTCTTATCCCCACCCCCAAGGTGTGTAAATGGTTGTGCCTTAAATTCTTTGTGAATGAGTTTTAGAGATTTTCTCAGGGCTCCCAGTTGGAAAAGCCTTCTACATAACTTGAAAGGCTGATGTCCCTCTCAGGAAATGAATGGATTGATAACCTCTGACACCAGTGACCAGTCTGGTGAACCCTACCTTAATGCTTTGAATCCTGGAGGCCGCTAACCAGGCACAACTGTGAATCCCCACAACTGAACTATCCAATGTAGTTCAGCAGTGCTGTCCCTACTTTATACACACTTTCAATATATCTGAAATTTGTCAAATTTAAGAAGGCAAGGACTCAGAATCCACTTATTGTTGTTTGATTCTTACTAGTAAACCCTTACAAATAAAACAGACTTGTAGATAAAATGTAATTTACCATAAACAACCCAAAATTTACAAGCCTGTTAATTTTATGATACTTTTGCACTATCCCAATTTACATGAATATATATTCAGGTTATTTGATAGTAGATTTTTTTTAAAGTAATTCCTTAAATTACAAAAAATACATTCAGAATTATATATTGTAACAACTTTGGTAGTAATCCATTTCTGTTATTAAAATAGAGTTTAGTAAATGCTTTAGCAAACAACCTCTTCAGAATGTGGGACTTGTTACACTTGGAAAATTGTTTGGATTTTTAGTTTTTTTTTTTTCTCTCCACCAGCTGGCACATTGTTATCCTTCTCAAAATAAATAAAAGCTTGCCTCCTTCCAGAGAACAATAAAAGAAAGAAACAGATGAAAAAAAAAATCTTTCCAAATTGATCAGTTTTGATTGACACCATTTATCACTAACAGCTGAAAATAATTTCTTTATGCACTGATTATTTTCAGATCTAAGCCAATTAGTTTAAATTTGTTTTTAGTTTTTCAGTATGAGAAGGGATTTTAATAGGTGTACTTGGATTTTTCATAATCCCAACATTTTAGTTTGTGTGAAGCACTGTTAGAATGTGGGCTTGCTTTGGAGAGATGGGGTGAGGGGGTGTTGGCATGGTGGGGGAGGGTCAGCTGGTAGCTTTGAAGAAGGGAAGTGGTATCTACAGTTTTTCTGTAAACTGCTTGTTTAAGAAAATGGGGGATGGGGCAGCACAAGACTGGTGGAAGCCTTATAATGTTTCAAAACAGGGTAACATTTTATATTTTGAAGAAATGAGGCATTTCTAGTTAATATATAATATGTAATATTTTTAAGTATTCAATAAGGTGGCTAATACTGTTATAAACACGATAAATCCAGTTTGAAAAGCAAAAAGTGTTTTGATGCAGGGGGGCCAACAAGAAGGGACGGAGGAGCCCACCTCGTTATAGTTTCGTTTATTTGACCGTTCTGCTTGCTGGCTGTAGACTTGTAAGATGTCAGGGTCCAGTTAATCTTACACCGATTTACCTTTCCCCATGTGCCTTCTCCCTACGCCAGCCGTGCAGGCTTTTTTCTTCTACGGTAGCCTCTCCCGCATTCTCTTCACCTCCTCACGCCTCTCCCCTCCCCCTCCGCCCTGAGTCTCCTGCTCTTGGGGAACAATCACCACTGATTGAGGTTCACTCTATGTTAGACTGGAAAACTGGGCTGTTATTTAGGAAGTCATTAATCACATCTCCTCCCCCGGAAAGAGATGGCGGAGAAACCTGTGAAGTACAATTTCTTACTATACCTCTCAAAAATATTCTGAAATGAGCAGCATTATTTGATAGGAAATTAGTAGCGATTTTTTTCCCAGTAGGATTTTATTTTAAATTTGAAAAAATTTCAGATTGGAATTAGGAGTGTTTTTGCCTTTTGGTAGGTTTATGTTACCAATATCTGAAGTTAGTGGTTAATTAAATTAAAATTTGGGCTTAGGAATTACATATTTTCCTCCACGAATTAAATATTAAATTAACGTCCCTAAGGTGGTTTGGTGCTATGGAATAGCAGATTGCCTGTGGGGTGTGTGTGTGGGGAATCATAACGTCAGTTGCTTTATTTAAATGGCTCCCCCTATGAGATTAGAGAGGCTTGTGTGTGGAGCACGCGTGTGCACAAATACCGACTGTCGCTTTTCTAAACCAGCAATTCACAAGGACCCTTCGTTGTGTTTAAACAGTACAAAATTAGCATTCTGATTAATCATAAAGAAGCGTCCCAAATTGTCTTTAAGATAACATGTTTGAGTTTTCCGTGTTCATTCATAAATTATTTTGATGTCAGCACAGATGAAATGGCGATTGGTTATCTCTTCCTCTTGCCAGCCCCTTAAGGATCCGAGGTGAAATTAGTAGCAAGAAAGCATGTAATTGACAAAGTCACGTGTGCTCAGGGGGCCAGAAACTGGAGAGAGAAGAGAAAAAAAAATCAAAAGAAGGAAAGCACATTAGACCATGCGAACTAAATTTGTGATCGCACAAAATCAAGATGTTAGACGGATGCTGAAGATCACTCCGGTCCAAAGGGAAAGTTTTCATCTCTCGAGTTTGAAGCTGAGGGCCGGTGGGGCAACATGGCCGAAGGTTAATTTTCTTTTCTATTGTTTTACTGTGATTTCTTTCTTCTTTTCTCCCCAGCTTCTCCCCACTACCCAGTTTCTCACCCCTTCTCGCCTGTCCCCCTTTACCCTAATAACTGGGCATTACTTCCCCACCCCCTCATAGTGCCATGGGGCTTCGGCAAAAACCTATTGTTACAGATCTCCAAAATGTTTTGTACCGCCCACACCGATTCACAACTTGAAAAGCTTTCAGGGGGCTATTGTTTGAATTGTGTGCGTGTGATTACGCGTAGTTTCAGTTAGTGAGACCAAGAAAACTTTTATACACCTGCCCCCTCCCCCATTCTACCCTAACTTTAATTGAAAGTTAGGGGGAGGGGAATGAATGCACATTGCAAATAACCCGGGATTCCCGTCTGCCGCATGTGCATTGACCAGTAGCCAGCCCTCCTCAGCATTTCTCTTTTCTCTTCCTGCTTGCTAGAAAAGCCAGTCTCGCTGGAAAATTACTCTATGTAAATTGGAATAGTATTAGGTCAGCAATATGTGAGTGGAGTGTCACAGGCTGTAACTGTAGAATGTTACGGAGCAATGGAGATACATGAAAAAGTATGCGGATGTGCAGAAACGTGGAAGCTGGTGTGAGCGATGCAGCGCTGTGGCTTCCTCTCCCTGGCTTTGCTTTTAACCCTTTTCGTTTTAGATATTTTTTAAAGAAGGAAAATATTTACCAACTTTTTGTTTTCTAGCTTCTCTTCCTCTTCCCACAAGCAGAAAAAATATTTTTTTTTTTCCGTTGAGCACAATGTAGAAATGCAGGCTAACCGACTTTTTGTCCTATTCCATGTCAGGCGGGGCAAGCAAAGGTGAAGAGCCAGAAAAGCTGCCTGAGCTGGCCGAAGAGGAATCCCAGGTTCTGCACGGAACTGGCCACTGTAAGTGGTTCAATGTGCGCATGGGATTCGGATTCATCTCCATGATAAACCGAGAGGGAAACCCCTTGGATATCCCAGTGGATGTATTTGTACACCAAGTAAGCCAGACTTCTTAATCCCCTCTTTGCCTGGTTCCATGTGTGGGAGTTGGTCTGTAATAATGTTAATTAATATAAAAAATGCACTAAGTATATTGAAAAATGAAAATATTAGTTAAAATCAGGCGAATGTCCAGTTTTTAGGGCATGTGTACAAATTCCTTCTAGGATATGTTTTTCTAAATAGGAAGTAGAGTCTGATATTTCGCTGATTGGGCTTGAGTTGATGTTATTTAATAAACCTTCCCTTCATTGGACAATGAAATCTAGCATCCAGTATTATTGACTTCATATTGCCTGTGCCTCATGAATGAATGGGAAATGCAAGAAGAGGCACCCGTGGATCCTTGAAAGTTTTTAAAAAGCCAAACAATTTGCTTGTCGTAAGAAAGTATAGGTACTCTCTGTTTAGATACCTCTAATGACAGTACCACCTGTACTGTTTAACATCTATAGTCACTTGCAGGCTTATGTCAAAATAATTTGGTTTTATAGTAAAATGAAATAGAAAATCGATAATAAAGAGTGGATTTAAAGAAATGCCAGAAAAGATTCTTGATAACCACTCCTTTAAGAACTGTTCCCTCTTAGGTTATTGATCCAGGAATACTGTCTCTTTAAAGAGACTGAACTTAAAAAAAGAAAAAAAAAGTAGCCAAAGGCTGTTTAAAACCTGATAGTTGGTTACATGGTAAATTTCTACAATTGCACTATAGTTTTTTAGAATGCTTAAATACCAAAGGGAAGATCATTGTTTCCCATTAAAAAAATTTCCTCAGGAAACAATAAATACCTTTTTCTTGTAAATTCATTTCTATTAACTATTGTTTCAGAGTTGAGAAGAGTTTACAGTTTGCAAGTAAAGGAAATAAAAATTCTCTGCTGAGGTCATGGACAGAAAGGCTGATGAGGAAAGAGGTTTATGTGGTTTATTATCTAAGTTAAAAGGAATTGAATGAATTGTACATTGCGTGTTGACTGGAATGGATCCATGTCTGAAATACTGAAGTTCCTCTGCTAAAAGTTTGATACTGTGTTATTTGTTCTTGGTAACGTTTGTACCCGCACTCCCTCCCCATGGAAGACCATTCATTTTAAATACAGCTGTAGCCAGGCGGAGCCTAGGAGACCATGCTGTTCAACCTGTTGTGCTCTGGTGCTTTGACTGACTGCCTTTGCTCTGGGATTTGTCTTCTCCATTCCCAAAGGCCTGGCTGGCCACAGTGGAAGGATAGGCATACTCTGTGAAATGGAACAATTTAAATAGTAAATAGGTGCCTGGGTAGAGCCTATTAAGTTTATATTACATATTCTGATGTATTTTTTCTTTTTGAAAATTTCTTAGATTGAATAACTAAAATTGATAAATTATTTTCTTGGGCTCTTCTTCCCCTTTCAACCTTTTTTAAGTTGTTAAATTGTTCTTTACGATGTCATAAATTTGTTTTATAGATGATAAATGAAAAAATAGCACTTTTTTCTTTGCTTGATCACACCTTGTTATAATTTGGTTTTATTTGTTTGGGTTTTAAAATATATTTTAAAAAGAAATAGAAATATATTTAAATACTAGCCATTTTATTAAGCAGTGTGAGCACTTAGACCTATGAAGTATCTACTTTAAACTATTTACTACATATGAGATGAACATTTTTGTGTACATTGAATTGAAAATGTATTGCTGGGAAACTTCAAATTCTATTGCAGTTTCTATGGTATAAACATTGCTTTTTAGTATTCCCCTCATATACCTCTTTACACGTGAAAGCACAGTGTTTAAATGAAGACTCTTAGCTTTTAAAATGGAGATTGACAAATAAAGTATGCATTATGTGAAGTTTTACATTGAAGAAGGCAGAATTCCTGCTGATTTTAGTCAGACAAAGTAAAAGTTAGATGGTTGTGAATGAAGTACTTAGGGAACTGTGAACATCCTTGTACAGTCAGGTTGTGACTCCGGACTATTATATAACACTTTAAAAATGCTTTTTAATCTAGCTATTAACTTTACTATATAAACGTTTTTAAAATGCATGTCAATTTTTTAGGTTAAATTTCCTTCATTATATTTTATACTAGTTTGCTATGTAAGAATATGTGTAAATCATAATTAGAAATTTTAAATGTTCAGCTAGACCAGTGTCTGTGAAGTATTTATGTCAGGTTGACTTTTTATGATAGTTTATTATTATTTGTGTGTCTGGGGTGATGTGTGTATGTGTGTGTTGAAGTGCTGTTGTGGAGATCAGAGGACAACTCTGTGGAGTTGACTCTCTCACTCTACCTTGAAGGTGTTGAGCTCAGTGTCCTTGGCTTCCTGATGCTCCATCTTGCTGGATTTGTTTGTACCCTAAAGTACGTGTACCATAGTATTCCGAGCACATTTTTAATTGTACGTATTTGAGGAATCAAAATAAATGGTTTTAAGGGTCCTTAATCTTTAAAATTGATGCCAAGGGACCCAAGAATTTTTTATTTCTTAAAGATATTTCCTACAAAGAACTGCATATTCTCTTTATTTCATAGCAATTGAGTTGTTTTGATAGGCAGTTCTTTGTAGTAAATTTTGTAGGTAGCTCTGTAAATTAGGTATATGATTATATTTAAAATCTGTTGACATTAATGTAATTAAACTTGTAGTTCTTGTGATATCTAAATCCTGAAGTTGGACATGTACATAGGGGTGTGCTTCCCCTGTCTTTAGATAACATAGGTAAAAGGAGTGAGATTCAACTGTTGATAGGTAATGACCATTGGTGGTTTAAAATGACATCTTCATGTGATTTCTACTCTGAACGTGTTTTAAGTGATTATGTTTTTATGGCTAGAAAACCGACCTATGAGGGCGGGCAGTGGTGGCGCACGCCTTTAATCCTAGCATTCTGGAGGCAGAGTCAGGCAGATCTCTGTGAGTTCAAGGCCAGTCTGGTCTACCGAGTGAGATCCAGGACAGGCACCAAAACTACACGGAGAAACCCTGTCTCGAAAAAATCAAAAAAAAAAAGAAAAAGAAAAGAAAAGAAAATCGATGTATGTATTCTGACTCATGTTAATAATGAATCATTGATGATGTTCAGTAACACATTTTATGAGTGCTGGGATTAAAGGCATGCGCCAACATTACAGAAGTTTCTTATGGTTCATGTTCCTCTTATTACTTGGCTTAGGAAACACCTCACTAATGGAAATTGAAGAATTAAAAGTAATTATGGCTGAGTGTACTCATGCTTGCCTGAAATCCCAGTTCCAGGGGAGTGGAAGCCGGGGCATCAGGGGTTTAATGTCAGATAGCTGGCGTGTGCTACAGCCTGTCCAAAACAAACAAGGAAACAGAAAAAAAAATAGTAACAAAAAGTGTTATTACGTTCTATTAGCTATTTAGAAATGACTGATATTTAAACACATGAAACATTTAAGTGCTGTGCCCAAGTTAGTCAACATTGTATTTTAATATTAAACTGTTGGAGAGAATGCTCAGATGATAAAAGAACTTGCTGTTCGTGTTCAGTTATCAGTGCCCACGTTGGGTAGCTTACAGCCCATTTTTGACTGCAGCTTCAGGAATCAGACATTCTCTCTGGCCTCCTGGCCTCTGTGTATTTTGCATGCACACATAAATAAAAACAAATAACTACATATTTTTAAAAACCTCAAACATTTGAAAAGATTAAAAATATTTAAACCTGACAGGATGACACACACCTTTGATCTCAGAAACAAGAGGATCTCTGAATTTGACCCCAGTCAACAATGTAGAGTGAGATCTCAAAACAAATAAACATAGTTGATCTTAATAATATATGAAGACATTTACTTCAGTGTTTTCTTATTTCAGGGCCTTTTCCTAATATTATGTTGCTAATGAATCACATTTAATTTTTGTCATACATACATTGGCATAATTATATTTTTCACATGCTGAATATATGTGATTATTGTTTTCAAGGCTGTTTAACATGCCTCTTTCCCCTCCTGATGTGAAGATCAAACCCTGGCCCTTGGGCACACTAAGCAAACTCTACCACAGTGTTAGCCCCTAATCCAGTTTTAAAAACATTTCACTGGATGTGGTGGCTTGTGTTCCCAGAACTGAGAAAGAGTGATCTTAAGCTTGATGCCAGCCTGGACTACATAGTGAAACTGTCAAAAAAAAGAAAAAAGGAAGTTTCCAAAACTTTCAAAACTTTTCCCAAAACTTTAACTTAAATTTTCTTAGTTTACCAATTCAGAAAATTGGATCAGCTACAATCCTTTAGAGCTGTATTGTTGTTTAAAGGCATTTAAAGCAACATTTGGCAAATTTTTAATGTAACATGAAAGACACTGAATATTATTTCCTTTTTGATTTTGAAATCTACTTAAAATTAAAAAAATTGGCCATTAGTCATTCTCATTTTAAATTGAGAAGTAAATTGGGTACCTGTTTAAAATGTACCTGCATTTCATTTTAATTGAGAAGTAAGTTGGGTACCTGTTTAAAATGTACCTGCATTTCATTTTAATTGAGAAGTAAGTTGGGTACCTGTTTAAAATGTACCTGCATTTCTTACATTTCCCACTCTGCTCCCTGCCTTTCCGATCTCCCTTCTCCTGTTCTTTCCCCTTTTAATGAGCCCAGAGCCTTGTGCATGCCTTTTAAATGACTGTTCAAAAACATTAAGAAAAACTAAATAGGTAACAACCCACTTTATCTAGTGATATCTAATATGCCTTTCAGTTACCTCTGAGCTTTTGAATTTCATGAAAATTTAAACACTTCTTAGTCAATATTCAATATAGTAGGTAAAAACAAGTCTTTTGCAGAGCATGGAGATTCATGCCTGTTGATCCTATTCTTAGGGGTCAAAGGTGTGAAGAGCCATCTCTCCAGCTTCCAAATTGGTCTTCTTTAAACATTCTTTAAAATTTGGTAAAATATGTTGCATAATATCGATAGCTTAATTTTTATTACAGTGAACTTTAAAATTTTTAATCATAGTTTTACAATAATTAATATTGTT